GCGCAAAGCTTGCAGGGGAATTCTAAATACCGTAAAATCCGGCGTATAACGCGCACCTATACTTTCGAGCGGCATTTTTTAATTTTTAGGTATGTTCGCCCTATAACGCGCACCTAATTTTTACGAAGAAACCTGAAACGTACATATGCAATGCTTTTATGTTTTGAAGTCATTTATTTCAGGTATTATTCCAAGATATAGAAAAAAGTAGTATATTTCTAGAACTACAACCATTTAAGTTCATAAGGAGGGTCATGCCTTTTAAATAAACAGTTTTTCGATATTTGTAAATGTCTAATTTTTTTTTCTATGTTCATTTTTTTTTTATTTTTAGAGCTCTCACTTTTATACCCGGCGCATAACGCGCACCCCTAAATTTGGATCGTAGTTATAGTGCTCAAAGTGCACGTTATACGCCGGATTTTACGGTATATATTTTTGGATACCCGCCTCTTCGAGTTTGTTTATACCCTGTGCGTGAATCGCCATTACGGTTCTAAATGCATGAGAACGCTTTAAAATTTTTCTTATGCTATGGCACATTATTATAGTTATGATGAAGAAATGTGATATATTTAAGTAATTTAACAGATATAATATTTAATAGATATAGTATAACAATATTTTCTGATGAAGAAAGTTTCTTTGAGGGGATGATAAGGAAGAATCGAATGATGAAGTGTATAATCGCAGTATGATTTATTTCCTCTACTGAAATCGATCCAGATAATTTAACTGAGGGAGTAATTATCGTCCTTGATGAAATGAATACATCCTATTCAATGGCTAGAAAATGTAATCGTTAGCCTATGACAATATGTTTTTTGTTGTTGGTCGTTGCAAAACAATAAATGCACAAATTATTTTGTTAAGTACTCAGAAACTACCAACTAAACATCGAACCCGACGCTGATTTCTGAAGTGTTTTGGATTTCGATTTACAGAAGAATGTAGAAACTAGCAAGCAGTGCTTCTACGAAATTAAAAACAAATTAAGATCCAGTGAAAACATCGCACTCACTCGCGACGAAGACTAAAGGAGTATATAATCAATGTACGGAATGCCTTAATAAAGAGAACAGAAAAAAAATTTACGTGTGAAAAGTGTACTCTAAACACGTTATATACCCTACTTTTCTTCCTTTTTCATCTTTGTATGCAAATTTTACGTTAAAAACAGAATGTACCTTTGAGTATGAGGTACCCTGCGCGTGAAATTCCGTGCGTTTTTTTCACGCGTGAAGTGTCGGGTTGATGTAAACAAAATATTTCTTTCGCGAAATTTCCACTTTTAAAAAAGTAAAAATAAAGATATTTAGTTTTCATTTCCTCTGCTCTAGAAAAGTCAAATACTAGGTAATGACATCCATAAAAAAACTTCGGGAAAAAAAATCCTGAAATACTACATCGATCATTATTCAAGAAATACTCTATAATTTTATACAGTAGCAGCACATGGAGATATTAAGTTCTCTAAATCATAGCGTAAATTAAATTTTTAACAAGGGGCCCAATATTTTTGGGCTCCCCAGCCTTTTTTTTGGGGCGATGGACATAAAAATACAAACATTTTCCCATGAAAAAAGGGGGGGAGGCCCTCGGGGGGGAAAGGGGACTTAGGCCCCACCCGGGGAAAAATGGGAAAGAACGTTTTTTTTTAGTTGGGTTTCCCGGGGAGGCGATTTTATTGGGAAGGTGGGGAAGGGCTGATTTGTTGGGGGGGGTACGAGGAAAAATTTTAGGGAAGTGGGTTTGAGCGGGTGGACTTATTTATTTATTTTCGGGCCCTGGGATTTTTTGGGAAAAATTTAGGAAATTTTTTAAACTTTTTTTTTTTTTTTTTCGTCTAAACCCTTTAATTTTCCCGGGTTGGGGGTTATCCAAAAAAAAGTTTCGTTTTTTTTAAAATTTTGGGAAAAAAAAATAAACATTTTTAAAGTAAACTTATTTTTAAAAAAAAAAACCAAGGTCTCTACCGACGATTTTTTCTACAATGTTTTTTTTTAGCCTGGGTGAGGACATTTCCATAATGAGAGGCCACATATCAATTAGGCAGTGGCGTATCGGAGAATATTAGGGCCCTCCTGCAAACTCAGGTCTTGCCCGCCCAAAAAATCTTGATTATCGCTTTGGGGGATGATTCCTTCCTCCCCCCAAAATTTAAACGCCACGAATGAAAAAGGAAATCGTTTTAATATTTTACGTTTGTTTAACAAACATATGTATTAAAACGTTTCGACTTATTGTTTGTGACTTGCCGAAATTCGCCTTCTAAAATTAAAAATTATTTTCTTTGATCAAATAAGGATTTTTCACATTTTTTAAAATGTTAAAACAGTTTCGCAACAACACTATTTTTACCCCTTCCAGAAAGAGGGAAACAAATTCTAATTTATTCTGCAATAAATTGATTATTTTTTCGTTTAACTTTTTCTTTTTTTCGCAATTCTCGACATGATGGGTTACAAAAATATTAATATCTTAAGAAAGCGTCCACTTTGTTAGAAATATACTGTTCTTTAGAATAGCTACAGAATAAGTACAAAATAACAACTGTAAGACTACTATCACGTTACAAGTGTGATAAACAAGTTACAAACATCTTTATATAAACATCAGTAGTAAGAAAATTGTGTAGAGATCAAGTAACATGTTTGGTAGTGTTTCCATTTTGCATCAAGTGTTGTTCTATCAAGTGAAATATACAACTAGTTAACCACTGAAACTTATATTTACATTTTTTTTTTAAATTTTAAAAAATCTTAAAATTTTCCTTTCCAAAAAAGTAATAAACACAATGTCTTGGTCCTTTAAACAGGTCAACTCAGTTTTTCCCTTTTTGAACTTTTCGACCACTAAATATAAAATTTTATATTTTGGTGGGCCACTAATATGATTGACCCCTATATGATGATCCACTATAACGATATTATCACTTATAAGCAGTTAAAATCAAACTCAGAAGGTATTTTGCTAAATAAGAAGTACCTAACATTTAAAAAAATTCGTATACCATAACACGTTTTGTTACTTGTCATTTTTGAAACTGAATCTTCATAAAAATATAAACAATGTGTCCTAATTTTTCTCCCGGCCATTCCAAAAATTTTCATGGACTATCTGTGGTCCGTGGATTGGCGACCGCTGGTCTAATTCATATGAGAGAAGGGCTCGCTAGCCCATTCGGACAGAGCCAAAAATACCCATTTTGGGTTGCCATACATGTTCTACAACGAGTTGTTGCTATGGCCTACTACTTAAAAACTAATGTAAAAACTACTTAAAACTCAAATACTTTTATTAACTAATAAATGCTTTTGTATATATTTACGTACAAAAAAAGAGATTTTATGGTTCTTCAGAATTTTTTTCTTTGGTTCGGATGTCTCCATGGCTATGAAAATAAAACTTTCGAGCAATTTAATCTACCATAAAAATTCGGCATTTTACATTACATTTTTAGCGTAAAATATAGGATTGAAATTTACGGGTGCGCGTTATACGCCGGGTATAAAAATAATTTAAAAATTAGAAAAAGAGATGAGCATTAAAAAAATTAAGACTTACTTAGAACGAAATATTGTTTATTTAAAAGAAATGACTACTTAATCAATTTAAGGGGTTGTATAGTTAGTTCTAGAAGTATACTAATTTTTCAAAAGCGTGGGTTAATACCTCGAAGACTGAAACATAACAGTTCTGAATATGTACATTTCAAGTTTCTTCGTAAAAATGCGGTGTGCGTTATACGGCGAATATAGCTAAAAATTAAAAAAGGGCAGCCTAAAAATATAAGTGCGCTTATTCACCGGATTTTACGATATTACCTTTGGATTTATATTCATACCTTGCTTGTTATATTAACAGTAAAAACGCATAGAATAATATTAAAACTAAAGTAATTTAATTCACACTTTGATGTAATTCGCATAGAAATAAACAGCATTGAGTTCATTGCTTAATAATGTTAAGTGTATTATAAATTATGGACACATCTATAATAGCTATTACTATAATATCACTATAGTTTAAATTAAAAATTAATTCTTCTGTAATTTCTGAAGAAATTTTTAAAAAACCTTTTCAAAAAAAAACTTTTTTACCAGAGAAAAAAAATAATTACTTTTTTTGGGAAAAAAAAAAAATATTTTTATTATCAAAATATTTTCAGTAGAGGG